TTTTTCCTATGTTGTTTTGTCTTTTAAGCCTCCTCATATTATGTTTGTTCAGGATTGTAATTCTATTGTTCTTTCAAGCTCAACAAGTTAGTGATTACGATTAACCTAATTATTAGATTGTTGTTGTTAAGCGCCATCTAGTCAGTTCTGACACATAGCAACCTTGTATAGCATTTCCTAGGAGCAACTGGTAAGTTCGAACAAACTACCTTGTGGTTCAAACCGACATTTTAGGTCCAGTGCATTATCCTGCAGTGTCACACCAGGACTCCAATTATTAGATTGTTGTTGTTGTTGTTAAGTACCTTGGAGTCGATTACGACTCATAGCAACCCTGTACAGGATTTCCAAGGCTGTAGATCTTTATGGGAGCAGAAAGCCTCATTTTTCTCCCACGGAACAGCTGGTAGTTTCGAACTGTCGACCTTGAGGTTAGCAGCCTGATTTATAACCACTACGTTATTTTTTCTTATTTATCAGACTCTTTTCTCACCTGTAATTTCCTGTACCATGGCCATTTTTATTCTCCCTGAAATAAATCCTTTAAAATTACTTCAGTGAAGTTGTTGGTGTTGCTGATGTTCCATGGACTCATAGTTACCCTGTATAGGATTTCTGAGGCTGTAAATCTTTCTGGGAGCAGAAAGCCTCATCTTTCTCCCACTGAACAGCTGGTAGTTTCGAACTGCTGACCTTGAAATTAGTATCCCAACTCAAAACCACTAAACTACTGGTAAACACCCTCGAGTTTTTGTTTGTTTGAAATGTCTTTATTTTGTCCTGTTTTTGTGTAGTAGTTTGGTGATAGGCCACTGAGTTGGTTCCTATTCATGGTCGTCCTGTATAGGGTTTCTGAGGCTGTAAATCTTTCTGGGAGCAGAAAACCTCATCTTTCTCCCATGGAGCGATTGGCAGATTCGAACTGCTGACCTTGCAGTTAGCTGCCTAGCTCACAATCTATTACACTACCAGGGCTCCTTTGTTTAGTAGTTTGGTTGGGTGTAAAATTTTGTGTTGACAGATGCCTTAGTTATCTTGTGCTACTACAATAGAAATACTACAAGTGGATCACTTTTAACAGAAATTTAGTCTCTCACAGTTTCGGAGGCTAGAAGTCTGAATCTAGAGCCAGTTCTTGTCTTGCCTCAACACTTTGAAAAAATAGTATCCCATTATCATCTAAATTCTGTTATTGATATTAAATATAGCTTTCTGTCTATTTGTCATTCTCTTTGTTTTTCCTTCTAGTTCTTAATATCTTCTCTTCATCTTCAGTGGTCTTCAATAGGAGAGTTATTTCTAGGAGTGGCTTTATTTATTCTTCTTGGGATTTGTTTTAGTTGAACATGAAGATTTATGTCTTCGGAAATTCCAAAAATTTCCAGTGATTTTCTTTTGAATTTTGTGGTGGTGGTGGTGGTTATGTGCCATGGAGTCGGTTCTGACTCATAGTGACCCTGTACAGGGTTTCCAAGGCTGTACATCTTTACAGGAGCTGGAAGCCTCATCTTTCTCCCATGGAACAGCTGGTAGTTTTGAACTGCTGACCTTGAGGTTCGCAGCCCAATTTGTAACCACTATGCTACCAGAGCTCCTCTCACCTTATTCTCTTCTCTCCTCTCAAGTTGCTGATTAGATATATGTTGGAACTTTTCAATCTTTTTAAAGTTTTATGACTCTTTCTAGAACTCAGTTTATACATGTTCAAACTTTAACCATATTTCAGATGTCTCTTAGACTCTTTCCTATATTTTAATACCTTTTTTTCTTTTTGCACTACAGTTTGAATATTAGTCATTCTGATTGACCAAATGTGAAAGTACCCAATATTTCAATTTCTAAATCTTTCCTCTGCTTTGTTCAATTTGCTTTCAAATATATCTACTGAATTCTCAATTTTAGACATTATTTTTTATTTCTTGAACTTCTGTCTGAGTCTTCCATCTACTATACAGTAGCAAATTATCTGGTGACCTTCTCCATACTGCCATTTATTGTTTTGAACATAGCAATCAGAGTTATTTTGAAGCCTTGTCCACTAATTGCAGTAAGTGAACCAGCAATGGATTTTGTTTTCTCTCTCTTTCCCTCTCTGTCTCTCTCTCTGTCTCTCTCTCCTTCTGTCTTGTTCCCCCGGCATTACCACCTGTACTCTGAAAATGACTGAATTTGTAAATAGGGTCTTTGCAGATGTAACTATTTAATATGAGGTCATTTTGAAGTAGGGTAAGTCCTAATACAGTTTGGCATGTGTCCTTATAAAAAGTGAATAGAAACATGGGAAGATGGCCATGTGAAGGTGGAGGCAGAGATTAGAGTTTTGCTAAAACAGGCCAAGCTACATGTGAGGCTACCAAAAACCAGAAGAAGCAAGGAAGGACCTTCCCTAGAGCCTTCAGAAAGAAGCTGGCTCTGCCAACACCTTGAATTTGAATTTATAACATCCAAGACTGTGAAGAATGTATTTTTGTTGTTTTAAGCCATCCAATTTGTTGTACTTGGTTATGTGGCAGCCCAAAGAAACTAGTCTAACATGCCTGGTAGTTTTTAAATTGAATTCTGGACATTGTATGTGAAAAATTATAGAGACTTCAGATAATATTATCTACCTATGGAGATGATATTTTCTTTTTAAACTTGTTAGTAATTCTAGTAGGGACAAATCTAATCAGAGACTGAGGTGGTTTAAAGTGAGGTTTCAGAGCTTGTCAACTTCCAGTTTGCTTTGGTTCCAAAGAAGTACTCCTTCAGGATTTCCAGCTGAAGGCTTTAGTTACTTTAGTTAGCTCCTCTTGGTGGGCCTTGAAATCTAAATTTAGTTTCATCAGTGAATGTACTGAAGCTCTGCTTAGTATTTTAGCCTCTTGACAATTATTTCCTGATTGGTCTCTTTCCCCTGAACAGCTTAGAATTCAGTAAATGCCTCAGGAGTAAAAATCATGCAGAATATTAGACTCATACCTCTTTGGTTCCCTTTTCTTTGGAAAATTTTACTCTCAAGTCCTGGCTGCTTGAATAGCCCTGGATGCCATTTCCATCTCCCAATCCCAGTGGAACTGCCATTATCTCTAGGCCACAGCATTTTACTGACTCCACACACCCTACAAAGAAAACACAATGGGGAATGCTTCCTCATCGCAGTGCATATCCCTTCTCTCCCTGATCCTGGCTCCTTAAATTCTGACCATCTTAGAATGATTACCTTAGCTGATCTTTCATATAGTCATAGATGTTTTGTGTTAAAAAAAAATTCAGATTTTACAGTGTTTAAATTTTACAGTATTCTCTACATACCTCTGGGAGATAGGAGCTTTGGCTTATTTGGTATATTTGTATGCTTTATTGAGCATTTTTAGGTGTTGTTTTTTTTTTTTAAGGCAAAGGGTTTTAAATTATCTAGTTCTCTATGATTTCAGAATTAAAGTTCTAGCTCACATAATTTATGTACCTGATTTTTAGTGGTGGTGGTGTGCCACCCTGTATAGTGTTTCCAAAGCTGTAAATCTTTTGGGGGGCAGAAGCCTCATCTTTTCCCTTTGGAGCAGCTGGTGGAGTGGAACTACCAACCTTGAGGTTAGCAGCCCAGCTCATAATCCACTACGCTACTAGAGCTCTTTAGATTTATAGGAACACTTGCTAAATGTCATCTCTTATTAAATGTCATCATTATTATTTCCACAAATATACAAAACCTCAACATTTGGGTAAGAACAGCTTGGAGACTTTGGTAAGTGTTGAAACAGCTGTGTGTGTGGTTACTGGATATGGTGCCATGTAGATTATACGACAGGAACACAATGAAATCTGGCCTCTTAAAGTAGTTAAAAGTACATTGCCCTTTTTCCAATGACGTGTTACTTTCTCTGTGAAAGCCTTATTCAATTCCTATTTCCTCAGAGAAACTAGCAAAGATTGTGTCTTTTTAACATTTAAACATTGAAAGATACTCATATATCTGTGGGGATGCATAAATGTGTGTATCACTTTACATACAATCATATTGGAGATTACCACCTAACCCTCACTTATTGGTTAGGTTTCAAAGAATGGCGCTATGTGAGAGTTATTTGCACTCCTCTTCAATGCCGGTGTCCCTCATCTACCTACCCACTAGCTTGTTGCCTTTTGGGCACTCCTGGACCACTTTCAGATGTGTGTGGCTCAGTAGGCCCCCCTTCTTCATCATTTTGTACCCACCCACCATGACGGAGTCCTCCCACAGGGATTAGAGGTGGTACTGGTTGTGGTGGTCAGAGATTGTCCACAATCTCTGGAGCAGCAGGTCCCACCATTACCCAACTGCACTCCATAACTACTTACGTCTAGGCCAGACTCCTGGGCTTTTACCAGTCCTGGAATAGCTACAGACTGCTCCCCGGCCTTCCAGCAAGTGAGGCCTAGCCAGTGGGCCTGGTGGAGATGATAAAGAAACTTCTTTGTAAGAGACTTGCAAGCCCCCTGGATCAACTCCTGAAACCCTGGCTTCTGTTACCACCTCTTGGCCTTACTGCCACTGCTTATATGTGCCACCTGCCCGCACTTCTCCACCAGACCTGAGTAATAGGAACCATCAGCAGTCCACACAGCCTGGCTCCTGCTCACAGACCTCACCCTTCTCCTCTCCTGCTCATCAAGCTTCTTGTGAATGCACATGATGGTTGACAGTGGATTTCTTCATGTTGTTGTAAATGTAAAATTTTGATAACAAGATAGTTGGTAAGTAGGGAGGAGTTGTTAGTGCCATGGAGTCGGTTCTGACTCATAGTGACCCTGTGTAGGGTTTCTGAGGCTATAAATATTTGCAGGAGCAGAAAGCCTCCTCTTTCACCCATGGAGCGGCTGATGGGCTAGAACCTTGCAGTTCGTATATTTGTAGGTATATTTATATTTGGACTTAATGTTATCCATTTTTTGCCTTTTATAGGCGGGTACTCCATCGAGACTTGAAATCAAAGAATATATTTCTGAAAAACAATCTACTTAAAATTGGTAAGTGTCTGTTCTGTTATCTATTCCAAACATGGGAGAGTATATTCTAAATGTTATCAGTTTATCAAATTGAAGTGTATAGTATCCACAAGTACTAAACTAATCACTGGTTAATTTAAACTTCTCAAATTTTTGTTCTTACCAGATTTGTTATTGTTGCTAAATGCCGTGGAGCCAGTTCTGACTCATAGCAACCCTGTATAGGGTTTCCAAGGAGCAGGTGGTGAGTTTGAACTGCTGACTTTGCAGTTCAAATGACCTTGCAGTTTAGTCCACACCAGGACTACAGATTAGCTCAGCTAAAAGAACTGTTATATTGTTCCTGATTATATAGATTGAGGGATGAAACATTTGCTATATATTTGATAGATTCTAGGTAAATTAATCAATTCAACAAATATTTTTGAGTTCTTGCTGTGTGGTGCTGTGGGTTAGTGTGCTGGACTGCGAAGTCAGTTTGAATTGCAAGATCAGCGGTTCAAGCTCACCAGCTGCTCTTTGAAAACTCTATACAGGGTTACTATGGGTTGGAATTGACTTGATGGCACTTAACAACAACAACAACTCTGTGTTAGGGAGTTCTGGTATGGCACTGTAAGATAGTGCACTGAAACACAAGGTCAACAGTTCAAATTCACCAGCTGCTCCTTGGACACGCTATACGGGTTCGGGTTCGCTGTGAGTTGGAATCAACTTGATGGCGCATAACAACTTCACAACTCCAGGTCAGTGAAAAAGAGAAAGTCCTTCAATTGGATGGACTGACACCTTGGCAGCAGCAGCGGGCTCAAGCATAACAGTTGTGAGGATGGCACAGGATTGGGCAGTGTTTCCTTCTGCTGTGTATGTTGTTGTCAAGTGCTGTCGAGTTGGTTCTGACCTATAGTGATCCTGTTTAGGGTTTCCGAGGAGTAGCTGGTGAGCTTGAACCGCCAACCCTGTGGTTCAAACTGACTTTGCAGTCCAGCACATTAACCCACAGCACCACACTAGGGTTGCTGTAAACCAACTCGATGGCCCCTAACAACAATAACTCTGGGCCAGTAGTAGACTGCTTTCTGGTTTAAATCATTGCTACAAGCCTCTTGCTTATTTTGTCACACACATTAGGGAGTTAGCATCGACAGTTCAAACACCGATGGAATCACTTTATTTATCTTTAGTTCTGCTTCAGAACTGTAGGCCCTCTCAGAACAGTTACTGGATTGATTGATCTTAATGTAAGATGTTTGTAGTGAGCGAAAGCATAAAATCATGCAACAGATTTGGCAAGAATAGAGAAACTGATGGACTCAGAATTTTTAAAAGTTTAGGTCTTTTATTTTAAAACTTTAAAAAATTGTAATTAAGAACAAATGCTTGCTTCTGGTTCTGGTGACTGCTGAGGCAGAGTCAGGTAGGACAGGCTCCATTGGGGAGGGACTGAAAACACAGAGAAGCTGCTTTCATGGAACAGCACCAGAGCTCTAGATCTAGCATAGTGTGTAGGGTGTTAGTTTCACATACACGCCAGTGAAAGTAATCACCATGTAAAGGTAAATACTGCCACTCTAGGTGCGGGACTCCCTCTGCAGACACCCCACACAGGCAAAGTTCAAGGACGGGGCTCAGCCAGGCTGGCACAGGGAACAGGAACTAAAAGCGGTGCAGTGACATTTGCAAAAGGAGATGTGGGGGGATTCTGCAAATTTATTCCTCCTCTTCTCTGTTGTGCCTTCTTTGCCCAGACCAGAGGCGTTCAGGCGGGTGGGTGTGCACCCCCAGAAAAGGGGTCCAGCATTGAGCCCAGTTTTTCCCACGGCACAAGAAGAAAGAGCCCTATCGAACCTAAGGGCAAAATTTTTGGCAGCTGCTTATGACATCAGCCTCTGGGTTGTAGCCCAAAAAATTAGCTTGTTTGGGACCCTTTACTCCAGCATATCCAGCTAGAAAAAAGAAGGATTGTCAGGCCTGACAGACAAATCATATCAACAATCTGTAAAACCCCAACATAAAAGGATGCAACTATCTCGAGAATTATACTATGCACACTCAGATACCTAACTGACCTACAGAGACAAAAATAGTAGATAATCTTTCTGCCATTAACTTCTCACTATCTATCTGTGCACCTCTGCAGTGGTGATTAGAGGAGGGGCCCGAGAGAGCAGACACCCCCACCCACTGCTGGAGGCTTCTGTGGTGCACACACACTGCCTGTGTAGCAAGGTGACTGTCCAGTCGGCCACAGTTTTAATTTGTTTCACAGTGGTGGTTTTTGTCTCTGCTTTTATATTCCTTCTGTTTTTGGTCCTTTTGATCACAAATTTTTCGTGGAGGTGGGAGCTTTTTCTCCCATGTTACCCAAAAAGAGACAACAATTGTGGCCATATAGCCAAGCTACAAGCATACCTCATAAGATTCCACCATTGAGACAAGAGCCAATAACAGCTGCAAAGCCTATCTCTTGATCATATCCACCAGGAGACACCCAATAAGTTTAATAAGCCAGCAACAAACATCCACTTAAGCACTGAAAACTCACGTAACTACTGGAAATGACTAAAATGAAACACAACAAAAGATCTCAAAACATGTTCAAAAACAGAAAAGAATAACTGAGACAAAGGAGCTGGAGACAGACAAAGGCTTTCCAGAAGAGGAAGAGCAAGTTTTAGATTTGCCTGAGAAGGAATTCCAAAGAATGGTATGGAAACAAATTCAAATGCTCTGAAAAGGAGTGGAGGAAAACAAGGAAGAAGTCAGGAAAGTACTACAAAGGCAATCAAACAAGATCAATACAGCACTGGAAACAATTCAAAACCTGCAAAAAGAAGTCCAG